ATTGATGAAGGAAAAAAAGCGAGTGGTGCGTTGAGGTATATGTGGAGATAAAAATCATTATCTATGGTGGCAAAGAAGGGAATATATGAAAGTATAGTAGTACCAACACTCTTATATGGGCGTGAAGCTTGGATTGTAAATGCTGCAGTGAGGAGGCAGTTGGAGGCAGTGGAGATGTCCTGTCTAAGGGCATTGTGTGGTGTAAATATTATGCAGAAAATTTCGAGTGTGGAAATTAGGAGAAGGTGTGGAGTTAATAAAAGTATTAGTCAGGGAAAACCAAGTAGACAGACATGAATTCTGGAGGTAGGAAGTACAGTGCCCACATACTGAAGGATGAATGGGGATGTTGCAGCTTAAGTCATTCGTAGTTATGTTTGTACACTTCCAGCTAAACAGCTATTAAATGAGTGGTTTGAATGTGTTCTCATCTTTAGATCAGTCTCCATTGCTGGAAGATTAAAATTGCAGTAAGAATTAAAAAAAGGTAAATTTTTGGTTAATGAATTACAGGTGGGAGTCCTTGAATTGTCACTTAATTGAATGTTGTTGACTAACAAAAATTCTAGATAAAAGAGGTCATACTGCAGGCTGCAGTATTAGGGTTAAAAACAGCAGTTATTACCGGGATACCTCAGGGATATGTTTAACCCTTTGAGGGTCGACAGGCCCTCTCCGAAACTCGTTCTCAGGGTCGGCCAAATTTCAAAAAAAAAAAAAATTATTTTCTCTTATGTAAAGATAGAGAATCTTTTCCCGATCATAAAGACACCAAAAGTTTGAAAATTGATAGAAAACTTACGGAATTATGCTCTCGCAAAGTTAGCGGTCTCGGGGGATGTTTTTCGCATCGGCGATTTTGCCCACTTTGAGCCCTTTTCGGCCAATTTCGCTGTACTAGTCGACAAAAAACATGAATATTTCGCTAGAACTCCATTTTTTCTACGAATGGGTGCAAGAAAAACCCCCCATTATGAAATTCAACTATCCAGTACAGTGGTCAAATTTAGCAATTTTGCCATTTTTACACAAATTTCAAAAGATGCCAATTTCCAAATAGGGTCCAGAAAAAACAAGAAAAGACATTCCTGGCACTAAAATGACATTTCCTCTAGTCATTAGTCACGTCTCAAGGTCCCTCTTATATTCTTTTGCTTTTCCCTTTTGAATTTTTTATTTTCACAAAAAATATAAGATTTACTGTTATGCAGACTACGCCATTAGTGTAAAAATGGTAAAAAATATTATTGGTGCACTTGTGAAAGAAAATTAGATCACCAGTTGACGTGTATTGCACGCTTGGCACGATTTGTTTGCTTTTGAAGTTTGGTAAAAAACGAACATTTCTGCTACCCTTTTAGCTCAATTTCAAGGCACCTTTCATTATAAAACCCGCCAAAATCATCTCAATTTCTGTAATATGTCTTTTCCCTTCTAAAAAATGAGACCCAAAAAACTAGAATACAACAATAAATACCATACAAAAATACACTGCAAAGTCGCTGATTTATTCCAAAAAAATGGTCAAAGTTTTTTTTTTTCTCATTATGCACTGTGTGCTGCAGGATTTTTTTTAGACTGTGCACACTGACCACATAGACCCATTCTTTCATATGAAGGCCTACCAGCTTTCTCCCACTAGATTTGAGGCCACTAGAATTTATGCGTACTAGTACGTCAAAACCCCCTACGCGTAAGACGTACTAGTACGACGAAAACCCTCAAAGGGTTAAAAGACAATATTCAAAATAAAGTTGCTAGTAATGGCAAATCAATTGATCAACAAAGAGAGATAGTAGAGGACAACAAGTGACTAGCTCCCTTAAAGTTTACTATACAAATAGTAGGAGTCTAAGAAATAAGATAGATGAGCTAAAATTACTTGCAAGTGTAGGTAATATAGATATTATTGGTATAACAGAGACCTGGTTCAACCTGAAAGATAGAGAAATGCCTTCTGAATGCAACATACAGGGTTATAAACTATTCCACACTGATAGGGTCAACAGGAAGGGTGGTGGTGTGGCTATGTATGTCAGAGAAAATTTAAATTGTTGTCTTAGACATGATATAAGATTAGAAGCATCGAACACAGAATCGGTTTGGCTTCAGTTTCTCAAGGGTCGTGACAAATTAATTTTGGGTGTGATTTATAGGCCCCTAAACCTTGGTAGGGAGTGCAATAAGCTGTTATGGGACGAAATTCATAAGCCATCTAGATATGAAAATGTTGTGATGATGGGAGATTTTAACTTTAGACAAATTGATTGGAACAATATGACAGGAAATCTTGAGTCTAGTGACTTTCTTGATACGGTTCAGGATTGCTTTTTAGAGCAGGTTGTGACAGAACCAACTAGAGGAAACAATCTGCTTGACTTGGTTCTTGCCACCAAAGATTCACTAATTAATAATCTTGAGGTTAATGATGAGCTTGGGGAAAGTGATCACAAATCACTTAGTTTCAATATATCATGGAATTACCCAGATAACTGCAATCAAATCTCTCTCCCAGATTTTCGCTTGGCTGACTTCATGGGACTGAAAAATTGCTTGGGTGGGCTAAATATGGATGTCCTAACTATGGGTCAGGTAGGTGATCTTGGTTGCCAATATGAAGTTTTTCAGAGCATAGTTCTAGCTGCCCAGACAACTTTTGTTCCGAGTAGGGAAATTAGATCTAACAAAAATGATCCCAAATGGATGAACAATAGATTAAAACATCTCATTGGTCAAAAGAGAGGCATATACAGTGGACCCCCGCATAACGATTACCTCCGAATGTGACCAATTATGTAAGTGTATTTATGTAAGTGCGTTTGTACGTGTATGTTTGGGGGTCTGAAATGGACTAATCTACTTCACAATATTTCTTATGGGAACAAATTCGGTCAGTACTGGCACCTGAACATACTTCTGGAGTGAAAAAATATCGTTAACTGGGGGTCCGCTGTATAGGCGTATCAAAAGAGGGGATGGGCAGTTAAGAAATCAATATATTCAATTAAAGAGAGAAATAAAAAAAGGAATAAGAAAAGCAAAAAGAGATTATGAGGCTAACCCAAAAGGGTTCTTTCAGGTATACAGAAGTAAGATTAGGACAAGATTGGCCCACTTAAGAGTAACTCTGGTCAGATCACTGACAGTGATAAGGATATGTGTGCAATTCTAAATACCTACTTCCTCTCAGTTTTCACCCAGGAAAATACTAGCGATATTCCTGAAATAATAGATTACGTAGAACAGGATGATAATAAACTATGTACGATTGCGGTAACTAGTGACATGGTCCTCAGACAAATGGAGAAACTAAAACCTAACAAATCCCCAGGTTCTGATGAACTGTTTGCAAGGGTGTTAAAGGAATGTAAAGAGGAACTTAGCATACCTTTGGCTAATCTTTTTAACATATCACTACAAACTGGCATAGTGCCTGATAAGTGGAAAATGGCAAATGTAATACCTATTTACAAGGCAGGTGACAGGTCCTTGGCTTCGAACTATAGACCAATAAGCCTTACCTCCATAGTGGGAAAATTTATGGAATCAATAATTGCCGAAGCAATTCGTAGCCAATTCTCAACACGGTTTTACAAAGGGGCGTTCCTGTCTTACGAATTTACTAACTTTTTTCACTAAGGTGTTTGAGGAGGTAGATCATGATAATGAATATGATATTGTGTAGTATATGGACTTCAGTAAGGCTTTCGATAGAGTTCCACACCAGAGGCTATTGAGGAAACTTAGTGCACACGGAATAGGAGGAGAAATTTTTTCCTGGGTAGAGGCATGGCTGACAAATAGACAGCAGAGAGTTTGCATAAATGGGGAGAAATCAGAATGGGGGCACGTCACAAGCGGTGTTCCTCAGGGGTCAGTGTTGGGCCCGTTGTTGTTCACAATTTACATAAACGACATAGATGAGGGAATAAATAGCGACATAAGCAAATTTGCTGATGACACCAAAATAGGCTATCCAATTCATTCTAATGAGGACATTAGAGCACTCCAGGATGATTTGAATAGACTGACGCAATGGTCAGAGAAGTGGCAGATGCAGTTTAATATTGACAAATGCAAAGTTCTAAATGTTGGACAGTTAAATAACCATGCCACATATAAACTAAATAATGTAGATCTTAATACTACCAATTGCGAAAAGGATTTAGGAGTTCTGGTTAGCAGTAACCTAAAACCAAGACAACAGTGCATTAGTGTTCGCAATAAAGCTAACAGAATTCTTGGCTTCATATTTAGAAGTATAAATAATAGAAGTCCTCAGGTTGTTCTTCAACTCTATATATCCTTGGTTAGGCCTCATTTAGACTATGCTGCTCAGCTCTGGTCACCGTATTACAGGATATAAATGCTCTGGAAAACGTACAAAGGAGGATGACAAAGATGATCCCATGTATCAGAAATCTTCCCTATGAGGATAGACTAAAGGCCCTGAATCTGCACTCTCTCGAAAGGCGTAGAATTAGGGGGGATATGATCGAGGTGTATAAATGGAAAACAGGAATAAATAAAGGGGATGTAAATAGTGTGCTGAAAATTTCCAGCCAAGACAGGACTCGCAGCAATGGTTTCAAGTTGGAAAAATTCAGATTCAGGAAGGATATAGGAAAGCACTGGTTTGGTAATAGAGTTGTGGATGAGTGGAACAAACTCCTGAGTACAGTTATTGAGGCTAAAACGTTGTTTAGTTTTAAAAATAGGTTAGATATATACATGAGTGGGTGTGGGTGGGTGTGAGTTGGACCTGACTAGCTTGCGCTGCTGGGTCTGGTACAGTGCTCCATCCTTGAGTGGGGATGACCAGACTGGGTGGGTCATTGGGATAATCCGGGGGGTGGGTCATTGGTCTAATCCGGGGGGGGGGGACATGGGCCTGCTCTGCATGGGTCAGTAGGCTGATGCAGTGTTCCTTCTTTCTTATGTTCTTATGTTCTTAAATAAGAATATGTACTAATAGTTCTTATGTGCTACTCTGATTGCAGGCAGTATTGGAACACCTGAGGCTTTAACTTTGCTGGTGAAGCTTACACTGAAAGATGACTTGCCACAGAGCTTTGGACTAACACAGGTACTGTATGTGAATTCTAGACAAAATATAAAATTATCTTTTATATTATGAATAATCTGGTGGCAGAATTTTGCCTCTGTGGAACATGTTAATTATGAACACATTACCCAGGATATGGCACGATTTTTTTTTGAGTTTGCATAAAGATCTGCCAATTTTGTCATTGAGTGTTGAGCTATAATAATAGTGGTAGTAAATATACTTCACTTGTTCCATATTATAATCAACATTTTTCTTGACTTACCATATTTTCTAGCATATAAGATGCACCACAATTTTGGCAGGCATATCTTGGAAAAAAAAAAAAATTCCCTGATCTTCATAGCTCTTCCTACTATCAGGTCATTTTAAAGCTTCTTATGTATTCAGATCTATATTAAACCCCACTCAAGTAACACCCTGCCATTTTTACTCAAACTGTCTCATGAATATATTGCCTGTAATGCTCTGTAAAGGAGAAGACACTTATAAATATGTACATATACACTGTGAATTTGTTAAATATAAATTATTAAAACACTGCACTAGTGTTTACACTTTAATTTATGAGTATTACAGCTATTATTATAATGAACTGCATGCCCATTTATAATACCATAAACACTAACAAAGAAAAGTTGTGAAGGTTATGGACGAGTTTGAGGTGTGTAAAGTAGAAAGTTGAAAGTGAACATAGATAAGAGTAAGGTGATGAGGGTATTAAATGATTTAAATAAAAAAAATTGGATATCACATTGGAGAGAGGGAGTATGGAAGAAGTGAATTTTTTTTTTTTTTTTTCAACAAGTTGGCCGTCTCTCCACCGAGGCAGGGTGACCCCAGAGAGAAAGAAAATCCCAAAAAAGAAAATGCTTTCATCATCATTCAACACTTTCACCTCACTCACACATAATCACTGTTTTTGCAGAGGTGCTCAGAACACAACAGTTTAGAAGCATATACGTATAAAGATACACAACATATCCCTCCAAACTGCTAATATCCCGAACCCCCTCCTTTAGAGTGCAGGCATTGTACAGGTCTCCCTCAACATTCGCGAGGGTTAGGGGATCAAGAGCCTCGCGAATGTTGAAAAACCGTGTAATGTTTGGTGCCCCAATATATTGTAGGGAAACATAATACAATACTGCTTCCTTAACTTGTTGAACCATGAACAATCATAAAATACATGAAAACGTCGTAAATTGTACTAAATATATACATGTTATGCTTTAATAACATGTATGTTATTAAATACCACAGACTCCACCACTGCACTGCCTCCACTTCCCCAACCACTGAGAGTCCCTACTACTCTCCCTCCGATCCCCGCAACTGGCAGCCAGCCCTCCCACCATTCGGTGTGGCGAGTGTTTTGTTTGTTCATTATTTGCTATTAAACTAAGTATAAATAATGTAAACCATTCATGACTACATATTGGAATGGCTATTCGGACAGGTATTGGACGGTGACATCATGTGTTTACTCTTGAACACAGCAAAGAATCAAACATTTCTGTATGCTATAATAACAATAGTTAATAATAATATAAATTTAATAATAATAACAATAGTAATAATAATAACAATTGAAAATTTAAATAACCAATATAATAAATAACAATAACAATAAAAATTTAAAATTATAATAATATTAATAATAAATAATAATATTAATAATTACGATAAAATGAAGAAGGAAATTGTACAAAAAATATGGGAGTAGTTGAACATTTTCAGTGTACTTTGTTTATGCTGGAACGTGAGCATAGATCTCCTTCTTCCAAAAATTACACAATAATTCAGCAGTTAAAGGCAGGGGAAATTAATAAATAATTTTAAAATAATAATTGTACATATTATTAATAACATGTATTATTTTTATTAATAAATGAAATTTTATTAAATACCAACTGCCTCAAAATCGCTTGCTCAACAGCTGCTCACCCACTGCCCAATCGCTGCCTAAAACCATGCCCAATCGCTGCTCACCCATGCCTCAGTCGCTGCCTCACCCACTGCCTCATCGCTGCCTCACCCTGCCTCAATCACTGTTCACCACTGCCTCAATCGCTGCTCACCACTGCCTCAATGCTGTCACCCACTGCCTCAATCGCTGCTCAACAGTTGCCTCAACCACTGCCTCAACATGCCTCAATGTTTCCCTTTCAACAGCTGCCTCACCCACTGCCTCAATCGCTGCCTCAACAGCTACCTACCCACTCCTCAACGCTGCCTCAATCGCTGCCTCAACCACTGCCTCAATAGCTGCTCAACAGCTGCCTCACCCACTGTCTCAATCGCTGCCTCAACTCTCCCTAAAACAGCGCTCAACAGCTGCCTCAACAGCTGCCTCAATACTGCCTCAACAGCTGCCTCAACAGGCTCCCTCAACAGTTTGCCCAACAGCTGCCTCAATCGCTGCTCAACCATGCTCAACTACTGCCTCAATTGCTGCCTAAAACACTGCCTCAACCACTGCCTCAACCACTCCATTTCGCACTCAATCTACAAGAACCAAACACAATAAATTATTGTGAAATTTTTGGAAAAGCACGGGGGACTAATGTTCACTCCAGCATAAACAAAGCCACACTGACGAGTGTCAACCACTCCCTCGTATTTTTGTACAACTTCCTTCTTCATTATATGTATTAATTATTTTTTATTATTATTAATTATTATTTTTATTATTATTACTATTGTTATTATTAGCAGTAGTAGAAATTTTTTGATTCTTTGCTGTGCTCAAGAGTAAACACTGATGTCACCGCCCAATACCTGTCCGAATAGCCATTCCAATATGCAGTCATGAATGGGTTTACATTATTTATACTGTAGTTTAATAGCAAATAATGAACAAACAAAACACTCACCACACCGAGTGGTGGGAGGGCTGGCTGCCAGTTGCGGGGATCGGAGGGAGGGTAGTAGGGACTCGCAAGTGGCGGGAAACTTGAATATGATTTGGCGGCTGAGAATTTGGTGGCTGTGAATTTGGTGGTTGGGAATTCGCGAATGTGTGAAGCCCGCGAAAGCTGAAAAAGTGAATGTTGAGGGAGACCTGTACTTTCCATTTCCAGGACTCAAGTCCGGTTACATAAAAATAACCGGTTTCCCTGAATTTTTATTATTATTTTTATTTTTTTTTTTTTTTTTTATCACACTGGCCGATTCCCACCAAGGCAGGGTGGCCCGAAAAAGGAAAACTTTCACCATCATTCCACTCCTCCTGTCTTGCCAGAAGGGTGCTTTACCTTTCAGTTTTTTAAAATGCAACATTAACACCCCCCCCTTCAGGTGCAGGCACTGTAAATTCCCATCTTCCCGGACTCAAGTCCGCCTGCGGTTTTCCTGAACCCCTTCATAAATTTAAATTTGTCACACTCAACAGCACATCAAGTATTAAAAACCATTTGTCTCCATTCACCCCTTTATCAAACCCTGGCTCACGCATGCCTGCTGGAAGCCAAGCCCCTCCCCGCACACAAAACCTCCTTTACCCCTCTCTCCAACCTTCTAGGCCGGACCCCTACCCCGCCTCTTCCTTCCACTATAGATGATCACTCTTGAAGTCTTCTGTTTTCTTCCCTTCTCTCTACATTGTCCGAAACCCCCTCAACAACCCCTTTCCCCAGCCCCCTTTGGAAACATTTTTGGGAATCCGAAACCTTCCTCCTACTTCCAAACTACGAATTCTCTGCTTTTATTACACCACAATTTTCTCAGAATGAAATCTCCACGCCCTCCCTTTTCCTCGCTGCAAATTTTATCACCCATGCTTCACACCCCTATAAGAGCGTTGGTTTTTTTAAAATTACTCTATAATTTCCCCCCCTTTGCCTCCAAGGACAAAGTTTTTTCTCCACAGACTCCTAAAGTGCCCACTCACTCTTTTCCCCTCATCAAATTTATGATTCACCTCATCTTTCATGACCCATCCCCTGAATCCACTCCCAAATATCGAAAACATTCCCTCCTCCATACCTTTTCCCTCCAATTGATATCCAAAACTTTCATCACCTAAATTTTTTGTTATCCCCATAACCCTTTCTCTTTCCTGTATTCCCTTTAATTTTCTTTTTTTGCACACCCCACCCAAATTCATCCAACAATCTCTGAAATTCTCTTCAGAATTCTCCAAGAGCACGTGTCACGCAAAGGGGCACGTGCAACCCCACTTTGTGGTGTTCTTTATCTTTTAATTTCCCCGCCCCTTGCCAAGACCTCGGATTACTTTCTCTTTCACCCCCCTCTATAAATATATTAAACAACCCGGTGAATCAAAAATCCTTGTCTTTTAAGGCCCACTTTTCTGGGAAATAATTTCCCTCTTTCCCAATACTCTACTTGAGCCTCCACTATCCTCGTTTTAAAAATCTTCACTGCTTTCAGTTTAAACCCACCTCCTACACCCTACACTTGAACATTGCCACATTGCCCCCCCTATCCACCCTGATACACCTTTTCCAAAACCAAAATGCCCAAAGACCCCTTTAGCCCTTTTTAAATATTTCACTTATATGTTTCACTGTAAACACCGGTCCAAAACCCCCCTACCTTTCCTAAAGCCTCCTTGTTATTGCTATTTTCTCCTCCCCTTTCTCTTAAAACTTTCAATAATAAAAATCTACCATACACTTTACCAGGTATACTCAGCAGACTTATCCCCTATAATTTTTGCACTCTCTTTTATCCCTTTGCCTTTTATACAAAGGAATTTTGCATGCTCTCTGCCAATCCCTAGGTACCTTACCCTCTTCCAAAAACATTTATTAAATAATTGCACCAACCACTCCCAAAACTATACCCCCCACCTGTTTTTAACATTTCTATCTTTACCCCAAATCAACCCCGGCTGCCTTACCCCTTTCATTTTACCTACTGCCTCACGAACTTCCCCACACTCACAACGGCTCTTCCTCACCCCTACAAGATGTTATTCCTCCTTGTCCTATACACGAAATCCCCAGCTTCCCTGTCTTCATCAACATTTAACAATTCCTCAAAATATTCCTCCATTTCCCAATCCCTCTAACTCTCCATTTAATAACTCTCCTCTCCTATTTTTAACTGACAAATTCATTTGTTCTCTAGGCTTTCTTAACTTGTT